AAGGTCTGTAGCGGCCCGCGCGCGCCGCCCGCCGGGGGCTCGCGCCAGCCACGAGGGAGCGTCCGCGGCTCGCGCGCCCGCGCCGTGGAGGAGAGGTGAGCCCCGGGTCCTCCATGCCACCGCGCACCCGCCCCGTTGCGGCCGGGCTTCCTGCCTCTCGAGCCGCGTCCGCGTCCCCTCGTGGACCGGACGGACGCGACGGTGCCCCGCGCGCCTCCGTGGGCATGGGCCGCGTGAAAGTTGGGCGGGCTTCTCATGGTGTGACGGTCCCCGGGCGGGCGGGCGTGGGCGTGTCCCCTCCATCCACGCGCGGCGGCTTCACCCTCTGGGCTCTCGTCCGAGATTTCTGAAATGGAGCCGTGGAGGTTTGTGCCACCGAAAATCTGAGTCTGTCCACACAGACATTCTCATTACATCATCATGTAACTCTGGGCAGCTAAGCAACCCCCACACACACACACACTATACTTACAAACCCCCCCTCCCCCCCCACTTCGTTTCTTTCTACTGTCTTCTTTTTGGTGCACGGACTGTAGAGAATCCTGCAAGATATTGAGGCATTTAGAATTTATGGAGTTTATGGTTCTGTTGCTGTGGTTGTCACCTCCGCTCTACGTCAAATTTGAGACTCATTTCTTAAGGATGTCTCTATTTTCTGGTTTATTTGCACATTGATGGCTCTGATGCTCGGCTGGCCACGGCCGCCCGGCGTCTGAGATAGACTCGTGTTAATATGTGAAAGGGAAGAGCTGATCATTAGCGTGCAGACGGGATTCAGATAACATCTGGCGGGTTTTCTCCGTTTTCATGTGAAAGCTTTCACGTTTTTGCTGGTAAACCGGAGGTTTTAACTTTTAGTCTTGGTAGCAGTGACGATAAGGATACGTTCCCTTCTCTCCACCCCGCCCCCGCCCCTTTTCCTCCTTTATTCATCAGCTTTGCCGTTTGGGAGCCTGCGTGCTTTTAGCAGTAGTTTAACTCGTCTCTTGTCACTGAAGCTTTCTCCCGCAGCAGAGGTGGGAGCTAACTCCCTCTGGTTCCAGGTTACCAAGACGACTCCTTTTGTTTTTGGCTTACTGTTGCATTTGTATCTTTCCGAACATTTTAACTTACACTAGGGATAGGTATTCCCTGATTGTTCTTAATGAAGGACTTTAAAAAAAATTCTAATTTTAAAACTTCCTAAGAGTTTATTGGTTTGTCATGTCTGCACGGATCCTGTTAGGCATAACTCTTAAAATTTAGAGCTTTAAAATAAGATCCACAATTGTATTGTTAAGACATGGTCGTGGAGCTTGCTCTTCGAGTTTTGGCTGTACAGTTGTCATTGTTTAAATCAAGTGCAAAAGAGGTTATTCCTGTTTATTTAGTGTAATGACTGTTTACAGTTAAAACTTTAAAGACTCATAAAAGGAGATCTGCTGTATTTTAAAGATCTCATCATTCTTGTGGGAGAGACACAACACTGACGCTAGGAAAGGCAACAGATTGCTTCTGTCATATCGCTTTGCAGCTTTGGAGTGTACTTAAAGGATTATGATTGATAAGGCTGTCTTGCCAGAGAATGTTGACACAGGTGTGCATCGTTATCTTAATTAAGATCTTGAGAAAATGTTGTCTATAAAATGGTGACATAAGAAGGGCGGCATATTTCTGTACAGTTTTGCTTTTGGAGAATTTAATTGCATAGAAACCTGTCTTTGAGCTTCCAGCACTCTGGCAGCAGAAGTTTTAGACAGAAATGATAGTTCAGTGTTAAGTGTTCTGGCATGTATTAATACTACTTGTGGCTTTTTGGCAATGCCTTTGTCGACTTCTTTTGTGCTTCCATCTTTGTGGAGTAATGGTTCCTGATTTAGAAAGAAAAGCATAAATAGCATAGTATATTATTAAGCAAACGTTTATTAGTGTTCAGTAAAAATATGTAGAGGAAGGCGTGCTTAATGTGCAGAAACAGGATTGTAATGAAAAGGTAAATATATAAGAAATTTATGTCCCTTCACTTTTTTTAGAAGACAGTCTCCTAGAATGTTTTAATGATCTAAAACAATTTCTTTTTTCTTATTGTCAGGTACTTAACTACATTTTTTATGGAATGTCTTGTTTTTATTTCCAGACGTAGAAGAAAACTGTTTCATTTCTTCCAAAATGTGGTTCTGTAAACTTGAATTGATGAGCAAGTGAAGATAGTGCATTTAGACTCTTATTAGTTTAAGGATCTGAATCATAACCTGGATGACCACTAGAATAGTATTACTGTCCTTTACTTCAAATCTCTGAATACCAAATGCCACAACAATAGCAGGACGGATGCTGCTGATTATATTACCCCTTGGCTTACCCAGCACCTAATACCCTTCAACATAAGTATTGCATTAAGATTTCCCCCCTCTCTTTGTAGCCCATGATTTCCTGGAAGCTGGCTGTCCATCAGTGTGTATGTAAGATGTGTGAGTGTTTTTATTTAATATTAAAACTCATTGTAGAAAGAGGAAATGAAAGTGGAGGAGGCCATAGGCGTTATGATCGGAGAGGCCAGGTGTAGAATCACAGCTCATTCGTGACTCCAAGGATAATGAGCTGCCGAGCATTACATGGTAAACTAAAATCAGAGAATGACTTATGTAGATTTGTTTGCTGAAACTAAAACAAGAGCATTAATTTTGACATAATTGCTTTACTTATCCCCCAACTCCCCTTCAAAAATTTCTTTTCTGGCAGCTAAGATCAGCATCCCAATGCTATTATCCATACATTATTTTCAAATTTGATATGCTGTGTTAAAAGAAATGAAATAGGAATATGAGCTAATTACCTGTCATCTGTTTTAATAAGTAACACCAAGTAATTATTACTATATTAATATATAATAATATAATATATTTTTACAGTATAGAAATCTTGTGGAAAATGTCAGTGTTCTTCAGTTGATAATGTGCAAGTAAATGAGATCGTGTAATCCTGAGTGAATTAAACATGTTCTTTAAAACAGATTATGAAAACAGGATCATATTTTGGAACAGTGTTTTACCTCTGAGATAGCACAGCCTATTTTGTGTGGTAATATCTCAATATCTTTGTGTATTTCCCTTCAGCGTCTACATCGTGTTGGCTCCTGTAGTTTAACATCTTTTCGGTATAAATGTTAGCTGTTTTATAGAGAATAGTTGTCCTTAATAGAATAGCAGCTGATACCACTCTAAGAAGATGTAAAATCTTGGAATTATTTTTTTCTTGTTCAGTAATGACTCTGGTTTGCTTTCTGGTTTAGCACTACTCTGGAGTGTGATACTCATGACTTATTTCTGCATAAATCTGCATTTTATAGCTAGAGTATACCTGAGCACCAATTTAGCTTGGCAAATTAACTTAGATGCTTCAAAATTGAAAACCAGTCTATTCAAATGTAGTTAAAGTTTAAATCTTTATGAGTAAGGATGCACTTAACATTTGTTCAAGAGAATAGAATATAATTTTCTCCTGCAGTTGTCATTTATGTAATCCATTTTTCTAGCCTTTTCTCAGGCTAATGATATTCCACACCTTGATACAGTCTTCAGTTGTTTATTTGAGATAATATAGAGTGATACCTTGGAGAAAATTAGATTAGATATTCATATCTAATATCCCTAAAGTATTTAACCAGACTTCTGTGTTTCCTTAAACAGAATCGTTTCCATTTTTTGTGGAGGTTTTAAGTATGATGTTTCCGTAATACATTTGGATGTTTTCAGCTAAGCTCACTTCTGAACCATGGGGTTCCTCCAAATGTTGACTGAAATTTGTCCTTGTGCATCCCCAGGCTCATCTGCAAGTGAGTGTCTGCACAGTTGTGCTTGTGTGTGGAGTAAACCCAAAATAGCATTAGCGTTTGTTTTACCAAAGTATTTGTATTGGAAATGGGGATGGTCTAAGTACAGAATGTAGAGAATGTCACTTGAGGCCTTTGATTATTAAAATTTTACCAATGCATTGGTAAGTAGGAAAATTTTTGATTCATGGAAATGCACTTAAAATGCATTTATTTTTTAATGTTATCGTCGGATAGTGAAACTTTTGAGCTCAGTGCTTTTTGTAAAAATCAAGACTAAAGTTACGATATGTTATAGAAATAGGATTATTATTTAAAGGAAATAATGTTTATATCAAATTACAGTTTTTGATTATTTTCATTACCCCAGTTCTTTTAAGAATAAACTTAGAGGGAGTATCAGCTCTAGTCATGGGTACTAAACTCTTTTAAAAAGACAAAGGATATACAGGTGTGCACAAAACTTGTCACTTCTCATCAAAATAGGGGATGCTGAATACAAGCAGATGAGAAAAGCTATGAGAAAAAAAAAATACTGTGCAGAATATTTGCGTTGCCTAGTGGGGAGAGCAAGTACTGGATTTAGTGATAGAGAATATTTTCTTAAGTAAAAAAGATGGTTGAATGACCAAGAAAAAAAAGCTAATTCTACAGAAGGCAACTCTAGTACAGCCTGCAGTAGAATAAGTGCTTCTCTGTGGATACTTTCAAAGGTATTAAAGTGATTTTTAATGTTATATAATTGTTTTTAAATAACACACTTGTGTTCTTCTATCACTGATTGGGCGTTATGGGGCTTCATGTATGACCAAGAGCTGAAGCATTACAGTCACTTAGGAAACACACAAATATGAAGAAAATGTTAAACAGTGAGCAGTCTGATTCCTCTTTGTTTGCCTTTAAGCTTAGTTTTTGGTTTTGTTTTTTTAACCACATGTAAACTTGTTGAATTTATAAGACAGGAGGATTAGATTTTTCTTCCCTCCTAAGGATGAATATAGGAAAAATCTAAACATATATGCAAATTGGTTGAGTTTTATATCTGTAATTAGCCAAAATTTATTATGAAGATTCATGTTTATTTCTTATATATTAATGGTATTCAAATGTATTAAAACCGATACTTCTCTTATATAAAATAGGTGGTGTGAGGGGGGGTTCCCCACTCTTGAAAATATGAAGAAAGCATGTCCTTTCAACAGTAATAGGTTATGGTTGATTAATTGAGAAGGTTATACTAAATGTTCTCTAGTGGAAATGGCTAGAGTATGCTTTTTGAGAACTATATCATTCAGGAATAAAATCAATTGGAGTATTGGTAATTAAATTGTAATTCAATGAAGGAACGAACTGGTAGGAAAGATGAAGCTAACTCTTGCTGTTTTTCTCTTTAAGAATCTACAGTCCATAATGGAGCTACTGTACTGGCTATTGGAAGAAGGAGATTCTGAAGATAGGGAGGTAATATTATCTCTTTTAAAAGAATACTTTCCTCTGTAATCCTGTGCCTTTATTACATATAAGAACTTTATCTAGTAGAGAGCAATTTCTTTAAATTTGGGGTATGGAAACAATCTGATTTTCCTGTGCTGAGTTTTCGAGCTCCTCCTCCTGGGGTAATAGGCTATGTTGGGAGAGCTGAGAAATCTCATCTAGGCATACTCAGCACCCTTAAAATAGCTTCTTTCTGAGAATTAGATCTGTGATGGTGGCCTACCCCGTTCTAGTAGATGTCATTTTAGCATGTGGTTGATGTGCAGGCATCGAGCGCGTTGCTTAGCTGTCCTCATTTACCTCTCTGGCTTTGTTGCCTTCTCTGGGGGAACGTGCTCTCGGCAGGGTGGTTTACTGCCAGCCACCACCCAGCTCTGAGTGGGAGACTTGCTGGTTGACAACTGGTTCCAGGGCTCTGCCAAAGAGCTCACCAGGCCCAGCCTGGGCTGCTCTAGCGCACTGGAGGCCAGGAGCTCCCACACACGGGTTCCTTCCCTAGTTGTCAGCTTTAGGTCCCTTTCCATTTTTTGTGTAATCCTAGGCTATGGGTAATACTTTCCGTTTCCTCTCACTAGGTTGGCTTGTTGCTTTCTTTGCAGCTGTTGCAGGGATTCACATGGAATGGAGGACTCTGTTTTATTCTGGATGAGATCTTTGATCATTTCCCCACATGCTTTTCCAGTTTCAGAAACCTAATGCTGGTGTTACAGAATGAATCTAAGATTCTTGAACAACAAAAATGAAAAATGAAAAATCTGTGTCAATAAGAAAATCTTCCATCTTTTCATGCTATGTTGCTACATTGCCCATGCAAGTTAAATTAAAAACAGAGTCAAACCCCTTTATAAATTATCAATCGCTATGTCTAAGAATGTTTATAAAGGCTTAAATTGTGTAATGGTATTTATATCATTTTTTTTCCTTTTTAAGAAAAATGATATACTTTTCTAGTCATCAAAAATACTCCCTGAACTATATCTATGGAGGGATATTAATGTAATAATAAAGGGCTTTATGATGTCTAATTATATAATTGGGAAATTGGTAAGCAACAGTAGTAGATAAAATCAATTTCTTCTATTAAAGAGCTAATATACATTTAAAAACAAAAACCTTCAAGAAGGGGACTCTTTAATCTTTAAATCATATGATGTTTTTGGTTAATACAATGGGAAGAGGAAATATACTAATCTTAGATTCTTTTATTCTTGCCTAGGTAGAGGTTGGAAGCAGCTGAGGAGCTATTAACATGTAGCCTAGAAAAAAAATGATATAAAAGTGATTACTTGGAAGGCAGTTTACATTTGCAGAACAATTCAATATTATGTCCTTGACCAACTTTTACACTTCATATACTTGGGTTATTACTCTGGCTTTTAAAATATCAATCTATGGTGTAGCTTGTGTATGGAATGCAAGGGTATTTTTGAATTGACTAGGTCTTGCTGGTCATTCTAAAATGTGCTACAGTATTACAAAGTTGAAATGTAATATTTATTAATAGAAGGAAAATATAAAATTTAATATCTGGGCAACTGTGACCTTTAAAGCTACTTTAAAAGTATAATCTTGACATCTGTGACACTATTTTTTGTCTTTGTTTATAGATAGAATTATGGATATTCTACAATCCAAATGATTTATTTATTAATTCCAAATTTTGTTCTCTATAATGGACTTTTAAAATAAAAAGAATACGTACTTTAGACATGGACTAATTTATTAAACATTAGTACACAGAAAAGCATCCTTGATTAATTTAAAACTGTGAAAGGGGGCAGGTAAAACTGTTTTCGGCTGAAATTTACTAATGCAGTAACCATTTAAATTAAATATTTGTTAACGTAATAGTGATGGCATTTTCTCCTCCTCCTCCTTGTGGTTTTGTCCAACTAGATGTTACAGTGGCAGTTGCACTGACTGTTAAGTGTTTAAATGATGACACCATTATGTGAAGTGATTTTGAAATGAGAGATTCCAGCCAAGAATTACATCTGCTCCCATCTCCTTCAAATCATACTCTCTGGCAGTACAGATTATGATTGATTTGTTTGTGACAGATTGCAGGAAACAGTCATTGATTTTTCAATATTTTACCTTAAAATTATTTACAGTTGTAACCATGGGGAGGTATTTCCACGGGCTGTCAGCCCCTGAAAGACTAGGATAATATTCCCTGCTCTCTGACAAGACAAATTACCTGTAATGAGTGCAGTAGCTGAAGGGTATACTTTTATTTTAAAATATGTCAATAACCCCAGTGACTAAACGAATATTGATTTAGCATAATGAAGCCTGAGTAATGTGAAAATGAGCTTTTTCAAGGAGCATGGTAAAGACTTTCTTTTTAGCTGGTTGTAAGAAGCTTTTCATTCTTTTCAACTAACTAGTGGAGATAAGGAGTTTTATATGCAAACCATCAGGAATGATAGTGTTGTTTGTGATAACCAGGGTCCAAATATTTTGCCCTTGCTTTTATCGATTCTTTTTCAGATCTTATTTGGAGTCTTACTTTCAGTCATAGAATAGCTACTGATTTGCTTGCTCTTATCTTGAACCAAATTAATGTATTTACCATTTCAGCATATTTTGCGTTAGAACCTCTGGTATTGAATATTAAAATATAAGTCTATATACAATCATTTGTAGATGACATAATAATTATCTTAAGACATTTCAAATGGGTCTATTGTAGTATTTAATGTGCTGTGTGTTATGGTAGAATAATTCCTTGTCCCTGGACATCAGACTGCTTTCAGTGGGAATGAAGATTAATTTACTTAAGCCCTGATATTTTAGGCATCATTGCATGTTTTCATTTTTGTCAGACTTCCGCCCACCCTTTTCAAATGTAATTCTCAACTTTTTAATGGATTAAGATCCCAATACGTAAGGTCCTTCAAACAAGAATGATAATAAAGTAGTATATTGCTTTATTTTATAGTTCATCAAGAAGCCAAAGATCTTATGCCTGACTAAGTATCTCCATATCTGACTTGGTAAGGAGAAAATAGGGTAGACAATGCCCATAATATATAGTAGAAAAGTCAGTATTTGAAGATGTCTAACTTGTATTCCATGGGAACCTAACGTATTTTATGATAACTAATAGTAACAAAATTTTATTGAAAGCAATAGGTAAAGTCCCTTTAGAAATTAAAAATGAGTTATGATTTAAAGAAAATTCAGATGGCTCTTTGTCAGTGCTAGTTCTTTTGTAGCATTGCATTGGAAATGTTGCAATAAAATGAAAAATATAAACATATCTTTTAATGGAAAATAGGATAGACTCTAGAACAGAAAATTATCGTTTTATTTTTCCCAGGAATTTGCCTGAGGGTGTGACACAGATGATCTCTGTTACTCTTCTTAGTTGTGTCCTGCAATAAGCTGGATGCTTTATAAAATACTGGTCCCTTGGTTTCAAATGTAAGATTTTAGTTCTCCATCACCCCCTCCCCCCAATTTTTTCCTTTTTTCTATAAAGGACCTTTGAAAATAGAAATATAAAGGTTGCACTAGCATCACATATGAAACTGGTAGCCCGAATTCTTCAACCATTAATTTGGTTTATAGTTTTCTAAGTTGATACTTTATCCTTAGAACTTATCTGTGGTTAAGGCCTATCTATAGATGTGCCCTCCAGAAAAAAATGAATATAGATTTTCTTCCTCAATAGTTTTTTTAAATGAAGCGTATTTTCTTCATACAAATCTACGTTAAGGAAAACATCTATATTGTTGTTTAGTTTATTTTGGAGTAAAATAATAAATGTATATGGTAAGTACCTCCTGACCCCATCATTTAGTTTAAACCTATCTGTTCATTTTATAGTACATGTGCAGAACTATTTACGTGAATAAAATTCAATAAATACGTAGATAAAGTAAAGCTTTTTCTGAGGAAATTATTCTCTTTTGGATACTCTGCCCTTTTCCATTTCTTTTCTCCCCTTGGGGAAAAAAAATCTTGCCCTTGTTCTCCTTTAAGGAAAAACTATTTAGATAAAGTGTTTTTAAATCATGCAAGTCATTGCCTGGGGTTGGTTAAAACATTTACTTTTTTGAAAAGGAGAAAAATGCCTCTGTTTTAAAAATCTTTCTTGTATTTGTATCTATTAAGATAAACAGTTTACTTTGATACGGTACATACCAATCTACTTAGTTAATTTTTTTTCCAGAATTCATTTTACTGTGCTTGGTATGACCTTCTATGATAACTTAATATAGGAACAAATTAGCATATAATTCTATTTTCCATGTGACCTCAACCAGTTGCAGAATTGTACCGCCACTTTTGGGGCGCAGTTTGATAGTCTATGTAGACTGTAGCATTTTTAAGTGTTTGCAAATGTTCAGTGCATCCTGCCTAAGGTGTTATCGAAAATGTTTAAAAGTAAGCAGTTAGAGGAAATACCCCTATTCCTAAGGTATCAAAATGCCTCCTAAAGGTAGCATTTTAAATTAGTGTGCATAATTGATTAGTGATTTGTCTTTCTCCCAAGCATAAAGCAACAGGGCAAAGTTAAGTGAGGTTGGTGAAGTATAAGAAGATATTAGGGACTGGTGGTGACAATGATCATGGCAACTAAATGGATTTCTTTTTTCTTTTAGATTCAGCTGTCAGTCTGAAATTTCCTGTGGTCTGTTCAGTCTAGATGCAAAGGCCATGGAAAAATCAAGTGCTCAAGTGGTTTAAATATGTTTTGGATGTTCTTATTTATAGATTACAGTATTTTTCCACTTAAAATCCACAGTTGTCGTGCAGAAGAAGGTTATGCCCTTCTAGATCACCAATTTTATTTGACATGCTTAGCGTTGTAATGTATTACCAAGTGCTATCTGTTTTAATCAAAGTATAGAAAAAATAAAATCAATTTTATATGTTGACTCTTTTTCTAAAACGACTTTATTGGATTGAATGAATGTTTATACCTGAAAAAGAGCGTTCCAAAAAAAAAAAAAATCACATTCTCCAACCTAGCAATTCTTCTGGCAATCTGATATCATTAGAATAGGTTTAAAATCACTTTCTAATGTGACTGTATTATATTTATGGGAGAAAAAAGACTTGAAAGGTATCCTTATATATATTTTAATTCTCTATATTAGTCCCTCTGGAATAGAACATTTTCTTCTCAAAAAATCTATTAGCTCAACTCAGATACAAGATAAAAATCATAACTGGCAGAGCATTTGTTACGTGTTTGAGCATTTGTTATGTAAAGAAGGTTGACATCCAGTCTTTCACAGAGTTCTTACATTTGGGGAGACTGAATAATGACCGTTTGCCTTGCCATTGGGAAATTCCTTGTTGTGGCCTTTGTGGTGGCTGTAGGAAAATGGAAGGATTCCTCTGTGGTAGGCAGGCCTCTGGCTTCTGTGGTGTGAACGCTGTCAAGGGGTATGTGTCACTAGAGGTGGCCCTTAGCGAGGGAACTGGGGAGATTCACAGATGCTCATGACACTCGAAGAAGCAGTTGTGAGTAACTGTTTTGTAAATGACCCAGTTCGTACTTCATCCACTTCTGTAGTTTTTACAAAGAAAGTGCTATGATAAATTCTTAAGCTCAGGTCTCCATATGGCAAAGTAAATTTATTAGGCTAGAGTGTTTCTTTTTTATTTTTAATTAAACTTAGTATTTTGAGATCATTATAGATTTCACATGCAGTTGTACTAAATAATGGAGAGGTCCTTTGTACCCTTTACCTAGTTTCCCCAAATAGTATGGTGTATGGTGCCATATCACAACCTGGACATTGGCATCAGTACAGCCAAAATACAGAACAGTTCCTTCAGCACAAGGATTCCTCATGTTGCCCTTGTGTATCCATAGCTGCTTCTGTCCTGCTCCCCTTCCTTAACCATAGCAACCACTAGGCTGTTCTCCATTTCTATAATTTTTTCTTTTCAAGGATGTTATATAAATGGAATCATATAGTATATAACCTTTTGGAATTGACTTTTCTCACTCAGCAATTTTCTGGAGATTGAACTTGAATATTTCAAGTCTGTTCTTTTTATGTTTGGGTAATATCCCACGGTATGGTTGTCCCACAGTTTGTTTAACCATTTACCAGTTGAGACTTCAGGGTTGTTTCTGGTTTTTCACTATTACGAATAAAACTGCTGTAAACATTCGTGTATAGATTTTTGTGTGAACGTAAGTTTTCATTTTCCTGGGATAAATGCCCAGGAGTGTGATTGTGGGTCATATGATAATTACAGAGAGCATTTCTTTTTAAGACTAGAATTGATTTTGTGTGTATGGAAGGGGAGACAAAGAGAACATCTACATTTTTGTGCTATTTTTGCTTTAACAGGATTTGTTTATGATTTCAAAACATGCAGACTATCTTAAATAACTTGTAGCTAGATATCAAAAAACATTTTTTCCACAACGTAGATTTTGTTCTTATTTTTAGAGAAATATTTTTGAGAAAAAATTACTTTTGGGGGGGTAAACAATTTCTATGTAAAGGAATAAAGGTAGACATACACTATAGAAAAGATGCTGCAAAGCTGACAGGTTACTTGGGGATATTTTCCAAGTGTTGATAGAGAGACTTGACGTTCAAGGATATATTATAATAGTTTTTCAATTGGTAGACTCTAGCTTTCGTCACCACCATGTTGCCTGTAGTTTTTATTTGTAGGATGAATTCATTATCTTTACAATTTGTGTTCAGCGGTATTGCATGTAATGTCCATTTAATTCAACTATATGCACTTAGGAAGAAAAGAAGGAAATAAAAAACAATAAGTATCTTTTCTAGTACATGGCCCCTAAAAGGCAACTATTGACACTTTACATGATGCTTAATGGAAGAAACAGCTCTGTTCCCAACCCTGGTGAAAATTATACTGTTATACTTCCTGAGAGGCATGTATGAAACCGTCTATGCTATATTTTGGGAGAGACTTACTGAAAGTATTTTCAAGGATAATTTTTATTCTAATTTTCCACCGTATATATTGACTTTGGAACTCTTACTGAAGACGTAGCTCCATTTCTTTTTTAGAAACATTGGATGCCTTTAACTGGTTACAATAATCCTTCTAACAAAAGTCAATATTTTAAATCTTTAACCTTTTTGAGTGAGGCCCTAGGCCCAGGGGAACCCCAATCATGCAATTCTTCTAAATATAGTTCATCTTTAGCCCATATGGTCATGACCACAGTGATATAAATGACATAAGATAATAAAATAGTCCTTGCCCTTAAAAATGACCTGGACAAAAGATAGTATGGACATATAGAATCTTTGAATACCAGTAGTCACTCATCAAGAAGCAGCTAGGGAAGCATCTCCTGTCTAGCACTTCTAGGAACTGGGACCCTAACAGTAAAGAAGAGCAATACAGGCCCTGATCCCTTTGCGGGGTTCTCGCGGCTCTTAGATTGGGGGGTGGGGACAGGGGAGAAGTAAAAAGAAACTGAGATAGAGTCCAACATGATTATGTGTTACTAGAAATCCAGAACCTTCGGAATTTAGGAGAGAGACTAGGAAAGCTGAAACTGCTGGAGCAGGCCTCACAGAAAATGGTGGGCTTGAATTGGAAAGGAGCATGTATGTGACACAGAGAAGGAGGACATCAGCAGCGGAGGGAAATGAGCTGCAGTGTGGTTGTTGGAAGTGAGGTGCAATCTGGTCTGGTCATCAGAATAGTAGGTGACTGCCCCGAAGTATACTTAACAGCGTCCTGTGTTTCAGGAACTCACCAGAAATGTGGCATGCTTTAAGAGTAATATTTGAGTTTAAATATGTATATTTGAGTGGAAAAACAAATGGATACTCTTCTTCTTAAAACTAGGACTTGGAAGTAGCTTTTAGACTATGAGGCTCAGTATGTGTGTGTGAATGTGAAAAACAACCTTACTTTCCTCCATTTGTGTTTGATAAGGAATAAGATATTTTGTACCTTTCTGATGTCTTAAATCTGTAAGACTATAATACTTTAAAATGTTTTATTTTAGGCTTAAAATAAAAGAACTTAAAGTTCTTTTAGAAGAGCTCCAAAATTAAAACTGCAAGATCACATATAGATACAAGTTACATAAAGAATACATTTGTAAGATGGTACATAGAGCTGATGGCTTTACTAAGAAACTATTTTGGGCACCCTAAGAAAATACAGGCATTTCTGTGCATTCTTTTCAAGTGTTCAAGGTAGTAAGAGAGCTGAGAGCCTTTTCTAAGTATGCATCCAATTTTAGAAGGCTGAACCAGGAAGCGCTAATATGCCTGAGGCCCTTTAAGTCAGGAACCTGGAAAAAGGAAGACACCTAAGGGACTATCAGAGTTTCTTTAAATTTATATAAATCATAGATTTGATCAATGTGGTTATAAAAGACATCAAAATTAAGATACTCAGGATTTTATGTGTAATAATACAGATTCCAGTGCCCCCAACTATATGCCATTGCCAATGAGGCCAAAATGAATTGTGTTTTAGGAAAGTGCTACATTAGGTGGACGACTTAAAAGTTCTGAGTATGTATAATGAGCCAGCACTGTGGAATCATCTTGTAATACTGTTTATCTAGCAGTTTAAAAAAAAAAAAATGGTGCTATTTTAGACAGTTAAAAAAATTTTTTTTACAAATATTGCAAATCATAGGTTGGTTACCACTAGACTTCCTGACTCTGCTGTGATTGCTGTATTCTCTCTATATTCTTTTAAAATACGAGGCACTTTATAATTTTGTCTATAATTGTTTATATATATTTTCTCCACAAAATGTTTTTAGAACAACTTATTGCTAAATTACCTTAACCTACCTGCCATTTTTAAACTTTGTGTATAAATGTACTGAAGTGTCAGTTGCAAGACACAGTAGCAGACTATTTAATTTTTTTTTCCTGGAGTCTTTTTATTCAAAACACCTTGCAAACTCTATGCATAAAAATAGCAGACAGCTTCCACTTGCAGGCTTTTGAAGCTGGAGAAGATGTGTTTTTCACGTGAAGAAACTTGAGTCCCAGGAAGATGAAATGCCTTGCTTCTAAGTGGTAATAAGGATCTTTTGACTCCACAGCAAATGCTGCCATCTTGAAGATGCTTGTCCCCAGTTCTGGAAATTCAATCTGCAGATGGTTGTATCACATCCCTATTCTTCATAATATTTTATTCTATACACATCAGAAATAAATGTCTACTTGCCATCTGTAGATGTCATACAAACATTTTGTCATCCATTATGGGTACAAGTAACAAGTTAAAGTATGTTAATCTCAGAACTGAATTTTAACCAATAGAATGTTCCATGTATTCATTACTATTTATACATACCTGCTGGCTTTTAACATTGTGATAAATCCAGGGAATCAAATATGAATACAATATGTTCCCTGAATTCAACAACGTGGGCATTGGGCTCAGGCATGGAGATGAAATGGTGAACAGCATGCAGTATTTGCCTTTGTGGAGCTTGGAGCTTAGCATCTATCTTGGCTACAGAGGCATAATCAGATCATTTCAGCACAGCACAGTGAGAGGGAAAGGCCAGGTGCCATGGGACCCCAGGGGGAGAGTCCTCACAAGCCTGACGGAGGGTGGGCAAAGTCAAGGAAGGCTTCCCAGAGGAGAGGGGCATTGGGGTTGAGCCTTGAAGGAAGGGGGAGCAAAGAAAGACAAGGGAGAGCACGTGACTTCAAGAGTCAGCAAGGAGTTTGAAAGAAGCAGGAGAGGTGCGTGCGGAGATTAGAAGGAGAGATGAGAGTAATCAGGGGGCCAGGCTACAAAGGGTGGTTTATACGCTCGAGAGAGCAGCTTGGACCTCATCTTACTTTCACCTGACCAGCTCTGCGTTGTGGAGGTATCATGTTTGGTGGCAGCATGGGGAGTACATTGGAGACCAGCAAGACTGGTGGTGAGAGACTGGTTC